CCTGGGGGTTATGGGGCCCTTACCTGGCACCCCGACCAGGCGTACGGGGGGGGGGGGCTGGGGGGGGACCCTGGGGGTTATGGGGCCCTTACCTGGCACCCCGACCAGGCGTACTGCGTGGTGAGGTTAATGACCTGGTTGTTTTCTGGGCGGATCACAGATTCTTTCATCAGGCAGTCCTGGGGAGAGTAGAGGGGTTAGCACTGGAGATCCCCAGCCCCCCGCAAACCCACTGCAGTGAAGAAAGTTGCTAACGAGTGCCTCCTCGTTAATGAACGTGTGTGTGGGGTGGGGGGTCACAGACTCCAAGGCCAGAAGGGATCATCTCGTGTGACCTCCTGTAGGACGCAGGCTGGACTGAAAGCCTGTTCTAGGCCTTATTTCGGTGCGGATGGCTCTAGCCCCACGTACGGCCCGTTCTCTGCCCCACACGGGACATCGCGGTGATCCCGCACCCGCCTCGTCCGTATTTACCCCTCCCCCGAGCTTTAGCCGGCTGCAGCCGGGAGGATTGGCGGGGAGCGGGGGGTCCAGGCCACTGATACCAATGCCAACTGGCGCAGGGCCAAGAACTGACCCCCGCGGGCCCAACTGGAAACCCACCTGCGCGAGGACGAATCTCTGACTGTGGCGTTTTGAGACCGTTTTTAACCCAGCTAACGAGCGCTGGGTTCGTTTGATATCGGTCTCGTTTTTTAATCCAAGTCGAACGCCTGACAGGCTCTATCATGTCAACACTGTTAACTTTCTCCACCACGGTCCTACGTCTCCTACAATGAGCCGGGCAGGTCGATTTCCCACGAACCCGTGTGGATTTGCATTAATTATATTTCGCTCCTTTTGTTCTTCATTAATCGAGTCCCATATCAACCGCCCATTAGCTGTCCAGGATCAAGGTCAGGCCAGCAGGCCTAGAATTACCCGGCTCATCCCATTTACCCTTTTAAAATAGTGGCACAACATTTGCTTTCTTGCAGCCGTCTGGAACTTCCCCAGGACTGATTGAAAACAAAAATCAGCATTAATGGTCTAGCAAAGGCCTCAGCCAGCTCCTTTAACACTCTTGGATGCAAACGATCTGCACCTGCTGATTTAAACGTGTCTAACGTGAGTCGCTTCTGTTTAACATAAGAACAGAACAGCTGCCACATGGCGCAGACCATGGCCCGTCTAGCTCCGTATCCTGGTTCTGACAGTGGGGAATGAACAGAACAGGGCAATTACCACCCTTCTTCCACTCCCAGCTCCTGGCAGTGGGCGGCTTAGGGACACACCCAGAGCACGGGGCTGCATCCCCAACCATCTTGGCTAATAGCCATTGATGGACCAAGCCTCCATGAACTTATCTAATTCTTTTTTGAACCCGGTTATACTTTTGGCCTTTACAACATCCCATAGCAAGGAGTTCCACAGGTTAATTGTGCACTCAATGAAAAAGTACTTCCTCTTGTGTGTATTAAACCTGTTGCCTATTCATTTCACTGGGTGACCCCTGGTGTTTGTATGGCGTGACTTCCCCATTTATTTTCTCCACGCCATTCATGATTTTATAGACCTCTGTCACATCCCCGCTTTGTCCTCTCTTTTCTGAGGTGAACAGCCCTAATCTTTTTCATCTCTTCATGAGGAAGCCGTTCCATCCCCTCTATCATCTTTCTTGCCCTTTTCTGAACCTTTCCCAGTTCCACTGCTTCCGTTTTTGAGATCGGGCGCCCAGATCTGTACACAGTATTGCAGGCGTGGGCGCACCATGGATTAGTACAGTGGCACTATAATCTTTTGTCTTATTTCCTAATAGTTCCCAACATCCTGTTCGCTTTTTGGCGGCGGCTGCACATGGAGTGGATGTTTTCAGAGAACTGTCCACAACGACTCCAAGATCTTTCTTGAGAGATAACAGCTAATTTAGACCCCATCATTTTATATGTGTAGTTGGGAGGATTATGTTTTCCAATGAGCATTACTTTGCACTTATGAACAGTGAATTTCATCTGCCATTTTGTTGCCCAGTCACCCAGTTTTGTGAGATCCTTTTGTAGCTCTTCGCAGTCTCCCTGGGACTCAACTCTCTTGAGTAGTTTTGGGTCAGCTACAGATTTTGCCACCTCACTGTTTACCCCTTTTCCCAGATTATTGACGAATGTTGAACAGCACTGGGCCCAGTACAGACCCCTGGGGGACCCTGGTATTTACCTTGTTCCATTGTGAAAACTGACCATTTCTTCCTCCCCTTTGTTTCCTATCTTTTAACCAGTTACCGATTGTCGTAGAGTGTGGGGGAGTCAGGGCCCTGCACCCCTCTTCCTGAGATTCACCGTGACTCTCAGCCAGCCAGTAAAACGGAAGGTTTATTGGACAGTAGGAACGCAGTCTACAACAGAGCTTGTAGGTACAACCAGGACCCACCAATCAAGTCCTTTTGGGGGGTTCAGGGAGCTTAGACCCCAGCTTGGGGTTCCCTGCGTTGCACCTCCCAGCCCCAAACTGAAACTCCCAAATCCCTCCAGCCGCTTTCTTCCCCCTTCCCTCTGCTCCTCCTCTCCTTTGTTCAGTCTCCCGGGCAGAAGGTGTCACTTCTCCCACCTCCCCCTCCTGGCTCAGGTTACAGCTCAGGTAGCTCAATGTAACTCCCAGGCTACGTTCCCAGGTCAAATCCGCCCCGCTCCCTGCTCCGTCACACGGATACAGGAGAGGGACCTTCCCTCTTATCCCATGACTGCTTAGTTTGCTTAAGAGCCTTTGGTGAGGGACCTTGTCAAAGGCTTTCTGAAAGTCCATGTACGCGACAGCCACTGGATCCCCCTTGTCCACGTGCTTGTTGACCCCCTCAAAGAATTCTAGTAGATTGGTGAGGCGTGATTTCCCTTCACAAAAGCCATGTTGTTTCTTCCCCAACAAATTATGTTCATCCATGTGTCTGACAGTTCTCTTCTTTACTATAATTTCTACCAGTTTGTCTGGTACTGAAGTCAGGCTTAACGGCCTGTAATTGCCAGGATCACCAGCTTTTTTTCTTTTTAAATCAGTGTTACATTAGTTATCTGCCAGTCATCTGGTCCAGAGGCTGATTTAAGCGATATTTTACATGCCACAGTTAGTAGTTCTGCAATTTCACCTTTGACTTCCTTCAGAACTCTTGGGTGATACCATCTGGGCCTGGCTGTTTATAGATGTTCGGCTGCGTGTGTGTGTCTCCCTGTGCGCTGCCCCGGCACAGCAGACCTCGAGCAACCCACCCACTGACAGCAGGATCCATACGAAGGCGCCAGGCCAGGTTAATAGCACCTGGCCGACTCTGCGAGGATACTCAGAATGTCTGCCCACGACAGTGGACGCAACTCAGCCAGTGACAGCTTTTTCCATTCTCCCCCTCAGCTGGACAAAGAGACCCCCTCTGAGATACATCTTTATACCCCGATACAAACAAGTTACGGATGGCCCCTGGCAGCTAGTTACGGCCCCCTGACGTGGCTAGTTATCACCATCTGTTTGTACGTGTTGGTTCGATCAAAACATCTCTATTCATCCCCCTTCATCCTGACCTGATCTTTAGGAGGGGTCAGTGTGTTCCCGTTATCCTCGGGGATGGTTTTGTACCATCCTTGATTATCGGGGGGTCCTGGCACTGCTCGACGTCGGGGGGGGGGGATTCTGGCACTGCTCAACCTCGTTGGGGGGGCGGTGTCCTGGCACCGCTCGACGTCTGAGGGATTCGCTCACAGCCTGACTTTTGCTCACTTTGCTTTATATCGGCAACGCTTGCCCACTACTTTAGCTCGGGCCTCTGGTACAAGGGCTTATATCTCAGGCTCTCTTCCTACTACACGTGTGACTTATTGCCGTTCAATTGATCAATTTGTTCCAAAACCTCCTCTACTGACCCCTCAATCCGGGATAGTCCCTCAGCTCTGTCACTAGGAAGGAATGGCTCAGGTGTGGGAATCTCCCTCGCATCCTCTGCAGCGAAGACCGAGGGAAAGAATTCAGTGAGTTTCTCTGCAACGGCCTGGTCTTCCTTGAGTGCTGCTTGGGCACCTCGATGAGCCAGCCGCCCCATGGCCTGTTTGCAGCCTCCCTGCTTCTGATGCCCTTAACAAAAATTTACTGTTAGTATTTGCGTCTTTTGTAAGGTGCTTCTCAAATTCCTTCCTGGCCGGCTCATTAGCCTGGTACATTTTACTTGCCAGTGGGTGCGCTGCTTCCTATCGCCTCACGTTTTACAGGGCACTTTTTGCCTCCATCACTCTGCGGTTGCCATGGGCCTCCTCCTGTCTGTTCTGCTTTCGGGGAGACCGGCAGCCGGAGCCTCTACTCTGGTGTCTTTCCAGAGCCTCCACGTTGCTTTCTGGCATTTACCCCGGTGGCTGCTCTTCGGCGTCTGTCTAACCAGCAGCCTCGGTTCTGTGTCGTTAACCGCTGCTGGGAGGTTTCTTTGGTGTTTTCTCACCACCGCACGAGGAGGCGAAATTTAATTATAGGCCAATCACTGTTACCGAGCAGCCCTCTAGGACCCGATCCTGCGCTCCACTTAGGAGTGAATGGGGAATTGCCTCTCCTCTTGCGGTCCCAGCCTCGCTGGTCCAGGAAGCAGCCACTGGGGTGTCTAGACAATTTCTCAGTAAATGTCACGTCGGGGGCATGTGCCACAGTCAATAGGAGGACACTAGTGGAACAGTCACCACAGGATGAGACTATGGTGTCCCTAGCCTCTGTTTGCCGGATGCTGGGAATAGGCAATAGGACGGATCACTTGATGATTCCCTGTTCTATTCATTCCCTCTGGGGCACCCGGCACTGGCCACTGTCGGAAGACAGGACAATGGGCTAGACGGACCTTTGGTCTGACAGAGTATGGCCGCTCTTACGTTTTTCCCACAATACAGAACAAAAATATTTATTGAACACTTCTGCCTTTTCTGCATTAGTACAGCTAACTGTACCATTTCCATCTAGTAATGGACTAATACCAATGTCAGGGTTCTTTTTGTTCCTAATATATTTTAACTCCTTATTTTCCTTAACTCTGCTGGCCATAGATTTCTCCTCGTCTCTCTTGGCTTCCCTTATCAATTTTCTACAATTCCTAACGTCTGATTGATATTCATTATCCCCACACTTCTATTTGTTACATTTTTTTTTTAATAGCTGCCCTCACATCCCCTCTAAACCAGGTCAGTTTTCTAACTAGCTCAGCCTTCCCCCTCCATTGTGGGACTGTGGGTTTTTGTGATTCCCAATTATCGGTCACATTTTTCTGATTAAATTCTTACCATTAATTTGGATCATAATAGTTTTCAGCTTTGTGAAAGTGGCCCTCCTAACTTACCCGGTGTATATATTACTGGTCTGCTGGCACATTATAAAAGTGATCAAGTCACTTAGTTCTGTGCTCTCTGTCACACCAGGGTCTAATATGGAATTCCCCCGTGTGGGCTGCAACACTTTCTAAGTTCGGAAATTGTCTGTGACGTTTAGCAATTCCAAGGGTGTTTGGGTAGCAGCACCATGAGATCTCCAGTCTGTAGATCCATGTGTGAGGAGCCAGTCACTGGGTTCTGCTACAGACCACGAATCACACTAGGGAAGAAGATGACACAGGTGCTCCCAAAGATGGTACAAGTTGCCTCGAGAGGCGTCTTCTGCAGATTCCACGCTGAGGACCTGGCGTCGATTGGAAAGTTCTGGCTGTGTGGAATTCTTCCTGGTCCTCTTCTCTCTGGGGCCCACAGCCTGCCCCCTCGCCCCCTCGCTCGTCTGACTCCCATGGCTACAACCCGCCAGGCCTCTCTGACTTCCTCTCTCTCTAACTCCTTGGCAGACAGCTCCCTTCTTCCTCCAGCCTGGGCTACCCTGAACCTGGCTGCCTGTGAACTCCTCAGCCTCTGAGTCTCAGCCACATCTCTGCTCACCCCTCCGTGCACCAGCACACCAGGGGCTCCCTGTGGGCTCCATGCAGGGAAGAGAACGTGGCCGGTCCATTGCGTGGCCATCTCGATCACATGTATGGCTGATCCTGCCTCCCACGCTCCCTCCAAAGCTCCCGTTAGCGGCCTCTGTTCACGGCTCTCGAGTTTGCCGAGCAAGTCTTCCAGCTTCCCTCAGCTGTGCCCCTTCACGGCTCGGAGATATCGAACAGCAGCTGATCAAAGCTCCAGTGGCTCGCAGCCTTTAGCGAGGCCCTGCTCACTCTGGGCCCACGTACCCAGAACAACCCCCAGACCAAACGCACCGTGCCCTGAGGCCCACTCCCCCAAGCACTCTGCACCTCCGCCCTTTGCTCCTGGCCGTAGGGGTGTTACAGGTGTGCATTCAAACACCTCCTGTCCGCTGGAGCCCAGCGCTCAATCAGTGGCACGGCCGCTTTGTTAATTACCAATCACCCCATTTTTGTGTCATCTGAAAACTTCATCAGTGTTTGAGATTTTCCAGGTGTGAGTGAGTGCAGGGCCGAGAGCCAACCATTGTGGGCCCCCCATGTACCATCACATGCTGAGACCGCCCGAGAGCCGGCTTTCAGTCTCGGGGGTCTGCGCGCCAGGCCCCGGGGTAGGGGTCGCCCACCTCACCGCCTCTGATGGGACCTCTGGGACGTCAGCCCCCCAGCACCACCCTGTGAGCACCGGGCAGGGAGTCCCAGGGAGATGGACCTCGCGGGCAGCTTGTACCATCTTTGGGAGCAACGCACCCTCTGCCGGGGCTGCAGGGACCCCCCAGCCGGGTCGCTAGCTGCCTGGAGCCCTGCGCAGGAGGTGCTTGGTTAGCAGAGAGCAGTGCCCGTTCCAGCAGAACCGTCCCAGTCAACCGGAGCCCAAAGCTGTCGCTCCCTCGCCTAGCACTCACCTCGCCACCACCCTCCGCCCCCGGCCTTTGTCCCCGAGCTGGGGGACCCGGCTCAGCCCCGGCAGGGAGCCGGGAAGCCCGTCTCTCTCCCGGGCCCTGGTTGCCAGGTGTCCATGTGCGGACGAGTGGATTTGCTGTTGTCTTCTCCCTGCTCTCCTGATATGGGGATTCAGGCCTAGACGGCTGGGCAGCACCACCTCCGCATGGGACCCTGCCTGAGAACACACGGACCCCCCCCACACATCCCCAGGTACCAATGCAGCACAGAGGGGAAATGAGGCACTCAGAGGCTTCATACAAATCTTACAAAAAAGTCCCATTTTGGCCCAGGGCCACGTTCATTTGATATCTCTCTAGCTTTCACGCCTTGCAGAAGGCTGGAAGGTCTCCCTAGATTACGCCCCCCCCCCCCCCAACAGCCCAGACACCCCCCGTCCTCTGACCTTGTTCCCCTGCTTGTAGACGGCTGGCCATTGCGAGGGGTCATCAAAATACAGCAGAATATTCTCACAGCACTTGGCCTGCAGGGGGGAACCAGAGAGAAGGGGCTGGTAAATAGGGGAGTCAGGCCCAGCAGGGACCCAGGCATCCGGGCGACTGGACCGGCACTCACCTCTGGGTAGCGGAACCGGAAATCCAGGCGTCCATAGTCGGAGAGGAAGCAGAATCGGGTCAGGAACACCCAGTCCTGGGAAGACAGGGAGAGGCCTGGTAAGGGGGGTGGCAGGGAAGGGCCAAGCCCGCGCCCCCCCATGCGCAAAGAGGGGAAGGGACTCACCCAAGGTCACAGAACCCAGGAGTTCTGGCTCCTAGCCCCCTCTCTCCTCCTCTGGACCCCACTCCCTTCCCAGAGCCGGGGAGAGAACCCAGGAGTCCTGGCTCCCAGCCCCCCTGCTCTGACCACTAGACCCCACTCCCCTCCCAGAGCCTGGTAGAACCCAGGAGTCCGAGCAGCCAGCCCCCTCCCCCACCCAATCTCTGTCACCCGACACCCAGTACAGGATCAGGTCACCAAGGTGCTGCTTAGTAGGACAATAGCATCACCATGACGACCAGGCCTCCCGCCGAGCCCCCCAGCACAGGCCATCCTAGGCCCAGGAGGATTGGGGGCAGGCAGCCGGGGGGTGGGGAAAAGGGGTAGAGGGAGTGACCGGGGTGGGGGCTCCTAGGGGATGGGGTGTGGGTGGGTGGGTGGGGGGTCAGGGAGTGATGGGCTGGGGGGGGTCACTGGGGGGCCATGAGGGGTTGGTTTTGACCCGGCTACGCCCCCCCCCCAACCCCGACTCAGTCTCATGCTCCAGGTTTCCACGGCAACTGCGCCGCAGGCTGAAGAAGGCAGAGAAAATAAGAATGAGCCGGGAATTGGGGGTGGGGATCCCATCCCCCCACTGCCCCCCACTGCCTTGCACCCTATAGCCTCCTCACCCCCACCTCAGGTGCCCAACCCCCTCACTGCCCCC